AAGAACAAGGTCCTACTTACACTCGTTTTATAGCAGAATATCTATGAAGGAAATAAACGGTGTTAGATGAAAACAGTTCTGATATATTTAACAAAAATTGGTTTTTTTTTTTTTTTTAATAACAATTAATTTATTATTAGTAGGGAAACGCCTGAATCCATTTCTTCTCTCCCTCATCCCTGACTATGGGTTAAAAATACCAAGATAGACTGGGCTCAGTAGCAGCCAGTCTATGAGAAGCATAAGTCTGAATCTAAAAAAACCATGAAGTAAACGGGAAACCACTCCACTCTTTCCCAAGAATAATTTCAAGATAATAAAGAAAAAGATATCTGTGAAGAAGCATGATCACTTACATCCTGTAGCGACATCAGATTAAATTAATGTTGATATGCACCGGAAGGTCACATGCAACTACACTGGGATAACAGTAGCCTTAGACTAATGTAGTGAGTATAAAATAATAATAATTCCCTTCACTGAGGAAGAAGAAGGAAAGAAATTCGTGAGCTTATCTGAAATTTTCTTTGGACCACTGAAAACCTTGCCTTCATAGAAATTAGCCAGAAAAGAAAGTAGCAAGCATGAGAAAAAAAGTTTTGATATAAAACAAGAAAAATTAAATTAATCAAAGAGTGTCTAACTCTAAAGTCATGTCAAATGTTTCGTTTCAGTTCTTTGCAACCAATGTTGAAGCTCTTGCCAGTGCAAAATTACCCACCAATTATATCATCAGCTTCTAACCAGCATGTAGCACTTCAAAGAATTTTCTCTCAAGAATTCAGGGAAGCTAAGTATTTCAAACTATCTCTCTTTATCTATTTTTGAACATATGCAAATCCTTTTTGTGAGCAACAAAATCAGTTAATGTTGTCTTAAACATTTTTTAATATTATTTTGTGTCAGATCATTTAATCTGTTGTATAAACATTTCCAGTTTCTGACAAATAAATTAAAACTATGGACTTTAATAATTCTGATTTATTTTCCTGTAACAAGCTACTGACACTAATTCAAGCATGAATAAATTTATTTTGTTTTGTTATAAAATACCCATGTATTTCCTCATCATTATCATCCTTCATTAATCTTCTTGGTGTGGGTTAATCAACAGTTTATTTATGCCCCATGTCACTATACCAATTTTAAGTTGCCTAGCCAATTGGAAACAATTATTGATGCATGTGTACGCCAACTTTTCATTTTGTCTCATCTATATGACCAAAGATAAATTGTGAACACAATGACAGCAACCTCAATTTACCAAGTAATCTATGAACTGGCATTCAGGACACATCTGAATCACTGTCTTGACAGCTGTGCTAGGTACAGAGGGATTGATTCATCTGACAAAGTAAGTGATGTAACAGTCACCCTGGTGACTGCTACACCACTTACACTGATGTATTTCTTTTATTTCGCATAGACCCAGTTCTCCCATGCCTGCACCACATGCTGAGAGGGTATGTTTAGTGTCCTTCTTCAACAAATCTAACCTCCTCTGTGGAACTCTCATAGGCTTGTCAGATTTATTTTGGTTGGATATAATCAGCCTTACATCTATGAGGCCATACTTCCCCATCATCTCTGTCTTGAGTGTCACAGTATGCATCCTACATAATGTCTCCATTCACTTCCAACACCACACCAGCATCCACCCACAATCATTTCCTGATCACTCACACACCAGCCTCCTCCTGCAGGGTCTTCTTGACATACTCTTGTCAATGTCTCACTTCAGAGGGATGTCGCAGGTTTTGTTGTCCCAACCTTTGGTTACTGCAGTGGCTTGTTGCTTCAAGAATGCCACTGCTGCCTTAAGCCAACCACATACCAGAAGGTGGCCTATGAGTTTTGCAGAGAAAGAGAATGTATTACAACATGTGATAACAGTTGGAGTCTCTGGAACCCAATTCACTTGTTTCCATCTATTGTATAGACAATTTCAATAATCCATTCTCGTCTCTTGGGAAACAATGAAGATACATTTAAACTAAGAACTTTCTTCTTATTGTAATAACATGTTTGTATGTTTCCAGTATTTTAGAGTTTTATTTGTGTTATCGAAACCCCTGGATCTGCAAACTAAGCACTTTTGCACCATCATCGAGTCTCACTGATTCCTTGCATTTTAGTCCAAAGTCACACCAATGCTTTCTGATTCACACCACAGAAACTGCACTTTCATCAATGAAGATGTCATCTATGTATGCCGAAGTGGCATCTTGGATTGCTTCATTCTGAGACAGTAGTCTTGATAATTGCCTTTATTATAAGATGTGCCACATTGAGGTCAAAGCCTAATTGTGTAAGGCAGTACCTCCACCCTTTCGCATAATGTAGAAAGGCCACAATGACCACTGTATGTGAACCTGTAGGTATGCTCTCATAAGGTCCATTGCACATACATAAGATACATTGCACCCTCATTGTTGCCATTCCCTTAGCTTATCTTGCCATGAATGCATCTACATTCTTATTTGTCTCTCTGTGGTCCATTACAGGTGGTATCTTTATCTTTCATGACTGGCTATATACAGCTAACAAGCAGTATTGACCAGCACAGTAACGGTTCTGCCATCAACCAGGACTATAATCAGGCTAGAGAATATACTAACACTGACTTATCTACTCTTTGCCTATTTTCTCCGAGACATATGGCCTGCAGTATGGCAATAGCAACAGCACATGGCATTGCATGGTCCTTGCCCTTGTCCTCTGCCATTTCCTTGGCTCAGACAATCATTCATGTGGTTAATGCCATTGCATCTAAAGCACTTTGACATCACCTTCTGTGCTTTGCATTGGCTGGGCTGTTGCTGCAACTACGACATCCTTCATCTCTCATAATCGCCCTGGCTCAGGCAAGCATCTGGTCAATAAACAGCGCATTTATCCTAGACAACAGACAAAGAGTCCACTTTACATCACCTGGCAGCCTGTGCACAAATACTTAAACCAGCATACGATTGCTCATCCTGCCCAAGAACACGAGTTTCTTCACTTCACCGCAAATCTACGGATTTGCCATACCACAAGTGCCATTCAATTAGTTGTTTGTACACCATGAACAAATTTGTAGCAAAGCAGTCTTTATCTGGTCAACATCAGATTTTGCTGTCAGCCAACTGATGGTAGACTGCAAATGCTCCCCCTCGTCAGTCTCAAAGGGATCATGTGTTCCAGAGACTTCACTCCACATAGCCTGCAAACAGGTTCTACCTTCTTCATCCTCTGAAAGAGCGGACACCAATCCGTCAAGCTCAAGAAGTAATTTTTAGTCAAATTTGGAGTCTGTCATACTTCGCCAATTGCCGAAATAGCTTATGTTCATCTTGTCTGGTTTTCCACACATCCACACGTAAGTAGAATATCCTCCCTCAATAGCCTATTGTGGAAGAGGATGTAACTATTGGTGCTTACAGCACCAGATGCAACCAACTCTGAGTCTTTTATCGGGTTTACTTGATTCTCTGTTGCAGATGTTGGACAAATAGAATAATGGTGGTAGCTTGATCTTAGGACAAGAAACACCCACAGAACAATTGGAAGCAATTGATAGCTTAAGGTAGAAATTACATAATATGAAATATTGATGTATGATACACCAAGGATTTATTTTCCTGCATTGTTGCATCTGATAAAATTTGATTTTATTATATGATTTTAAATATGATTTTATCAATAAACACATTCAGAACAGATGTACTAACAGCACAAATTCCCCGTCATATGAATTTGACGTAAACAAAATTTAATTAAAACTGTGATCCATTTGTACTTCTCTTATTGATATTTTTTCTTTTAATGAAAAATATCCCATGATAGATTTTGTGTTAAGAAATAGATTAGATATAAACACTCAGAAATATATTTGTTGAGTTTCTTTTGACTAATTGTAGATTAGTAATTAAAAAAAGTAAATTAAAAAGTCAAATTCAATCCCCAAAATTTCAGTAGTGTAACAAGAATATACAATAACATAATGTAAAATTATTTTGATTAGATGTAAAAATTTATTTTCTTTATTTCATAAATCAAAAGAGAAAAATTATCAATAATAATTTTGTTGATACAAATATTCACTTAAATTTTTGTAATCTTAGCAGATACAACTCAAGTAAGTTTTATAAAATTATTTGATTCTAATTCCATATGCAAAATATGAATTATAAAACAAAGTAAACACAAATTCATTTTTTAAATGACACTATGAAAGGTATTTTGGGATACTCTTAAATTTCTAGATGTTTCTTAAATTTACTAAAATTTCCAGTAAAAGTAATCAAACCTTTGAGAATCTTTTAAAAATAAAATCATGACAAGTTTTAATCCAATTTTATTAATCTACTGTTTTTTTTTAAGGATCAGTCCATTGGTGTCTATTCAGAGATGCAACCACCACTTCTAGATCAACAGGCTATTTATACATATATAAAGGATAATTGTGCTATACAATTGTAGTATACAACACCAGCTTTACATTCCCTTATTTTTAAGTGGTGAATATGTAACAGAATTGACAATAAGATATAGCTTTTGATGGCATATGCTTTTTGCAAAATCAATATAAGATTTAGATATAATTTCATTTTATATGGTTATTTGATATTTGCTGTTAATTGCAACAGAAAACAATATCCATGAGACTGCAATACAGAATGTTAGCAGACAAAAATACTGTCTACTTTTGGAAGCAAAAGTGCACAAATAAAACCAACAAATGCATTATTTGTAAATTTTCACTTTTCACAAAATCATTTGTGAGTTGCCATTTATAAGCAACATTATAATCCTAGAGTGTCATATAATTTTTATTAAATTGGACAAAAAGATGCAAAGGCCACCATGTTGAATTTAGCATTGTAGAAATTCATTTTTCATTTCATAAATGGAGAAATAATAAAATGTGATGAATTCAAATTTTAGACGGATATTTTATGGGCTAGATTTACAATATGATAACATATTCAAATAATAATCATGGGAGGTGGGATCATTCAAAAATCATCTAAAAGGTCATTAGTGTCAGTCAAGTCAGATGCAGACTTCTTTCCAAAGCTTCTTTTGTGTTTTTCTTCTTTCATTTTAACTCTGAAAGAGAATAAATTAAAAAAGATGCATTAGAATTTTCATTAAAATATATAAAGATATTCAAAACTACAAATATTATTTACATAAATGCCACTAAACTTATTCGTATAAAGAAATAATTTTGTTGCTTCTTTTTATTTATTGCTGTAGGTGAAAAAAAAGAAATCATAATCAAAATACTCAATATTTCTTTGTACCAAATAATAGCATCCATCAATTCCAATCATGTCATTCATGATAAAACCGAACTTCATACATGATATATGTTTTTAATTATTTTACCCCAAACAAAAAACCACTAAAACACAAGGTGTTACTGAGAGTGAAACTAACACAGCCACCCTCTAACTTGCCTGCAGCCATCTTGAATATTTTTTGGTTGTGATATATTTCAGTCTCCTTTTATTGTTTTCTTTGTTTGAAGGTTCCCATAATTTCATTAAAAGGTCATAATCCAGCCATATGTCCAATGTATACATCTTAGCAATTTTCTAAAGTAATGGATTTTTATTTACTAATCCGACAGTATATTTATTCATTTTTGTCTACCAGACTGAATATTTGAGAAATCTTCTTAAAGTATTCACTTGTAGATGAAAATAAATAAATAAATAGAGCATCAACTCAAATACAAGTATCCACTAAAAATAACGTCTAAAGTGATAAAACATACAGCTTAGCTAACTTCATTCATGTTCTCAATGCTTTTGTTTTTATCGCTGTTGTTTTGAAATATCTCACATTGTGATAGCAGTAGATTTGTTAGTGAAAGGTGAAATGAGGTATACACCTGAATGCAAATATTTTAAAATTCCTCCAATACCCTAATTATTTTTCAATTTAAGATAGAAAGATCTTCAAATTTATAAAAATAAAAGAATAAACAATATAAATAATCTTAATAGAGCTAAACACATGTAGAAAAGAAAATGGTGACATACCCCGAAAGCCACTTTCATGTTGTATGTTGTTTTTTGAAGAAAAAAAAACAGGAAAGAAAGAAAAATGTCTCTGCTCTGAATGGGCTCACATAAATGAGTTACTTTTAACCAATCATCGTTCAAGTGACACTCAGTGGAATGGATTCCATAAAAAAATATGCTATCCCATTTCTATGCTCCACAAATAGCAAACCATAAAGGGTCCAACAAACTGCTATAAAAGCAATTGACTTTTCCTGCCTGGTAAGAACTTGGCAAGGTTGCATGTGTGTACACAGAGATTTAGTGAAAACTTTGTGAAACTTTACTATACAATAATACCAACTCTATCAGAACTAAAATTGAAAAGAATTTATCTCAACATAATATAAAATTTGTTACAACTACTTCTAAAACAATAAAAAACACAATACAACAAAATAACATTTTTGTCTGAATTTCTTAGATTAGGAATTATGTTTCAGCCTTCATCAGGTGATTGTCAATTTGGATAACCTTCAGGGATTTTTGAACTGAACCTATTATTTAATCTGTGGGAAAGATTGTTCTTGCCTATGACTAAGGAGATCTCATCTAGCACTGCTTACCTTGTTTCTACAGAATCCAAGTGCCAATCTCAGTGACTGAATTTGCAATTACTATTTTACCAAATTTCTGAATCAACTCTTTAAACCACGAGGCTATTATCTCATAAGACAATTCTAAAGGGAAAACTCAAAGCATTAAACCTAAGCCACCTTCTGACAGGTAGTAATATTGCAACTTGTTATGTGTGACTGCACCCACTAAGGCTTCACATTTTTCACTGCAGCCATTGCTGAAGCTTTGCTATCACAACCTTCTAACAACAACTTAAAACTTGGAACAGGAATTTATAATATAGCCCGTAATAAAAGTCACAAAAATATATAGGAGAAACTACAAGGAAATATAAACAAAATGGTAATATAAACATAAAAGAGATATTTTGCAAAACAATGCACTCAATGAATAAGTCATTTATCATAATGTTAACTAAACAATTTTCTTTTAAAAATGCTACTCTCAATTAAAAAAATATGTAATTTACTAAGAATGTAATTTAATCTAAGAATGAATAGAAAGTGCACAGATTTCTGAGTCTTCCACAATAAATTTACATCCAGGCCCTGACAACATTTCACCTTTCTTAACAAATCTCCTGCACACACACACACACACTCATATCCGTTAATAATAACACATTTCTAAAAAAACATATTTCAATTAACATTTAATCTTTCGTGTCCCACTACTACCTGGATTTACTAAAAAAAAAAAACAAATTAATTTCCATGCCTGTATGTACAGCTGAAAGTACTAGCAAAATAAAAAAAGACCTTATACAACTTGAAGTTATTAAAAACAAAGATCATAACATTCATCGAGAGGTTTGTAGGTTAATGTAACTTTAATAAATTTGTTTGCAAAGATGTTTTTTGCCATT